CTCTACCAGAAAAAAGATAACGAAGAGGCCTATGGTCTGAATGAACTATTACTGGAAAACCTTGAATCAGTGTTCTGTTTATCTTTAGTCCATATACTATCGCCAATGCCTCTCGTTCTACAGTAGAATAATTTAACTCGGCACCCTTTAACTGTCGACTGAAGTAAGACAGTGGTCTAAGGGTTCCATTATTATCCTCCTGCTGGAGAGCTCCCCCAATGGTTGTTTTAATTACATCTGCAACTAATACAAATGGACGGGAAAAATCTGGGAACTTTAACACTATATCCTCAGAGAAAACTGTACGCAACTTGTGAAATGCATCCAATGCTTCCTGTGCCCACGCTAGTTTCGTTTTCCCATCTTTAGTCTTACAGCCTCTGGTTAAGTCAATTAACGGTCGCGATATATCTGCAAAATTACTTATAAATTTGCGATAGTAGTTAGTCGCACCGAGAAACGCCTGGAGCTCTTTCAAAATTATAGGTTGTGGGTATCCCTCCATTGCATCATTCCTTTTCTTTTGTGGCTTAATACCATTTTCACTAACCACATGTCCAAGATACTCAACTTCTGACTTAAAAAACGAACATTTAGTAAGTTTGTGAGAGAGACTACTCTGCTGAAGACTACCTAAAACTCGTCTCACATTATTACAGTGAGTCTCCCATGTGTCTCCCAAAACTACAATGTCGTCTAAATAAACAAAACCCATATCCCCAATCAGACCAGACAGGACCTAATTAATGATCCTCTGGAAAGCAGCAGGTGCGTCTTTCATCCCAAAAGGCAACCTCATAAATTCGTAGTGGCCGTCCATAGTGGAAAATGCCGTTTTCTCTCGACTAGCGGGGGTCAGGGGTATCTGATGATATCCCTGCCTGAGGTCTAAACACGAGAAGAAACGACTCCTACCTAGCCTTTTCAGGATAGAATCTATGTTTGGCAAGGGGTATCGGTCATCCTCAATACATTCATTAAGAGCTCTGAAGTCAAGACATAACCGCAACCCCCCATCTCTCTTTCGTACTGGCACCAATGGTGCATTATAAGGAGAACGTGAGGGTTATATAATCCCTCTCCTCAGCATAGAGTCAATCTGAGCCCTAATCTCGTCTCTGTATTTCAACGGGATGGGATAGGGTTTCTTGTAAACTGGAGGACCCAGAGCCTTTATTTCGTGAAAGTATTCATTCGAAATAGGCAAAGGATCCTCATCAAGACTAAAAACCTTTGGGAAATCCAAAACCAAGTCTACCAGCACCCCGTGGTCTTCTGAACCTCGTTCAAATATTTTGTCTATTTCCTCTAATAATCTACAAGTTTTATTCCGGTTTCTCTTAACACTTGCTACTACCTGCCTTCTGGCTTCACCAGGAGATATATCTACTAATTTCATGAGTTCTCCCACACTCGTATTCTACCCAATTTCTACAACTCTATTCCCCTCGTTCTTAAATGGTATCCTAAACTATCTGATGACGAAATAGGAGTGACTATGCCCTCCATTAAGCTTATCTCTAAACCCTTTCGAGGAATAAATAACATATTTTATCCATTTAAATCATTCATACTAATGTCCCTGATTAAAACACAAAAAGATCCACGACTCTGCATCTACAATTAGATCCTCTACTGGAAAAAAACATCAGTAGTAGTAGCCCCATCAGTAGTAGTAGCCCCGCCACTATCTCTTGTCACCTTCCCATCAATAGCCCCGCCATTATTTAATGTAATCTTCTCATTAATAACCCCACTATCGTTAATAGTAACATCATCTATAGCCGCGCTATCATCTAAAGTAATATTTTCATTAATAACCCTGTTATTGTCTTTCGCATCCTCATATATAGCCCCGCTATTAACTAAAGTGTTTTTCTCACTAATAACCCTATTACTGTCTATGGCATCCTCACCTATAACCCTGTTATTAACTAAAGTCATTTTCTCTTTAATAACCCTGTTATTGTCTACAGCAACCTCATCTATAGCCCCGCTACTAACTAAAGTCATTTTCTCATTAATAACCCTGTTATTGTCTATAGCTACCTCATTTTAGGGCACACATCCGTAGCATAATTTAAATCCACCTCTCCCAGGCGGGAAAACTTCACAGGGGCCCCTGCAGCCTTCCCCGTCTTGGTCCTCCAGCGTCCCTTCAGACCTACGGTTGCCATGGAAGCGACAGTTTTTTTATTACTACGCTCAACCCTCACATCCTGACCGTTAATGAACAAGGTAGTGGGGCATGATGTATATGCAACCCTATGTGTGTCCGCAAAATCGTTTCCTATCAGCATCTGGCATGGTAAACCCCACGTATCCATCACCAAGAACAGAAATGAAGTCTTTATCTTACCTACATTAAAAGTAAGATCTATCTCCCCTCTGTGGTTTAGGAAGGACCACAATGAACAGATTTCCTAACCTGCTTATCGGGCATACTTAGCTCTTTCAGCACTTCACTATGTACTAAGGAAACTTCTTCTCCTGTGTCGAATAGTGCTGCAATGCACTTATCCCAAAGATAAACGTCAAATAACAGCATCCCTTCACTATCCCCCAGGGACAGGATCTTAACAACATCTCTACTATCTTGACTATATTCTCTAGCCTTATCCTGCAAATCAGGGGCATTTTTAGGGAGGACTGAAACCCTCCTTGTATTTATTCGTTTTTTAATTACTTTTTGGCCTCCAAGGCCCTGGAAAATTTCTCGCAAAATGGCCTACGTTCCCACAGTTAAAACATTTTGTCTCTGTTTCAATCTTTCGGCGTGTTCCTGACACTCCTCTTAACTTTTGATCAAAAAGGAAACACCTGTCCATGGTATGACCTATCTTCTGACAAAATCCACATATCATAGTAGGTCTGCCACGACCCCTTCCCATATGAGCACTAGAGCGTGTTATGCGAGCAGACAACAATTGACATTTATCAGTTCCGTGGCCACGCCTTTGACAGTAACCACATGTGCTTTGTCACATTGCTCTTTAAATCAATGTCTGTCCTTTCATCTCCTGTATTATCCACCGGTATCTTTCTAAGCTTGGCCTGTTTGTTTAACATTTCCGGTCTAATTATAATACACATCGCCCAGCGAAATCAAAGAAAATCACGCGGCAAAGAAACTGATGAGAACCCCCGCTCACAAAACCGCTGACAGGCAAGGTCAGCTCGTGACAATTTCCCCCGGAAAAAATTCCGCAGTCGGCATCCATCCTAACGCGACTCACATGTGGGGAGGCCCGTGACGTCAGGAGTGGGGGTTATGACGTTAGAATGAGACGTCACCACACGAAGGCGAACGACAGGAGAAAACAAGGATAGTTATGTCTACGTAGTGCTGAACTATGCTGACCTAGCACCTCTCGCCTCTACCGCCCCGCTCTCCTACCCTCACACGCCAACAACAAGCATCACCACTTCTCACTTCACTTCACTATATGAATGAGACAAAATGCAAGCACTTACTTGATAAAACAACCCATTAGAACATGTAAAACGTATATTCATAAATATACTACACTGAAAGACTCTACTTAGTATAGGGAAACAAGTGAATCAAGAGCACACAAAAAAATAAACATGCTATTGATATGCCTTAAGGAGTATTGCTAGCTCTGTAAAGGAATATATCAAGTTAACATATAATCTATCAATCAAAAGCAACATAGGAATTATACTAAAGCTAAAAGAACATGATAAAAAAAATTATATGTATCTCAGCTTAAATGTCAATATAGTCATATATATACACACACATTATGTATAAATATGGTTAATCATTACGTACTCTGTAAGAGCAGGCAACTTAAACTACTACTACTAAACTTATAAGTATCACTACTAATGTTAAAACACAGGAAAAAAGGGGATGGAGTGCACAGTAATCACTTCAGGAAACAAAAAACTAAAAGCTGCTACGCCCGGCGCCACCTGAAACCACAAAGGAAGATTAAGCCTATCCTCCGAGGGTTTTTGAATTTGTACAAAACCCACCCCGTGAGTCAAATTTACAAAATTATTCCCAATTAAGTATTACAATGGTAGGATATGACAGAGAGCAAGACATGGAAATCACCGCTGCCGCCACTATCGAGATCTAGATAACTGAAAATATTATTAGATTTCTATTAAAATATAATCGCCGCCACCACCGCTGTTTTATTAGAAAACAGGGAAAAATAGATCTCTTCCAAGTGAATTAATTATTTCAATAATAATAAAATCATAGTTCCTGTAATGAAGGGATTCAGTAAACTAAAGTTTAAGTTTTCTATATTTTACTATTTTTAGTTTTACAGTATAAATACATTAAGTCTATATTCTATTGATATACATTAAATCTATATTCAACTGGAACGTTCTTTAAAAACCCTGCTTACCAAAATAACCAACAAAGACACACTGGGCATGGCTTCTCCTAGATCTCTCTCGAACAGCGTCTCCCAGACGAATAGGGAAAACTGCCGCTCGCTCCCTCACAGACATCATCAGCACGTGATCGCACATCGTACGATGTCCTATCATCACGGTTTTTTCCACTTGTGTCATCCACTCGCGATTTTCCTTCTTTTCTAACACCCATGGAAGATTCCTAATCTTCCACATATATAACATCATGAGATTTGAGATTGAGATTAATTTTCGAAAGCGTCAAAAAACTCCCTAGAGCTTCATTTTCAGAAAAGAAGACGGTGAAATAGAAAAGGTAATTTTCTGATCGGAAGAAAGAAAGAACGAAAGAAAAAAGAAACACGAATATAGGCAAAAATACGACGAAAATTCAAAGCCATTCAGCATATTTCCAGAATTACTTCAACAGAAGAAATGATTGAAGAATTAGGCATAGGAATGAAGAAAACAGCCCGGAAGGAATAACATGAAGCCAAAATGTGTAACAAAACAGGAAGACATGTCTGAAAATGTGCCCAGCGCCGCCGTTCGTGTGAATCCGGATTCGCCTTCACGAACGTCAACAAGGCAGGAAGCGAATGACACGTTCGAGACGAGAGCGACGAGGGAGGCTCCGTTAAGACATCACAGAGGAAACAGCTATCCGGGTGAATCGTCAACCGAAGCGAAGTGTTTAAGTGAACACTTGGAGCACGAGATAGTCCTGGTGCATATAAACCCATGGAGTATGAAACCCTAAATAACCGAAGACGCAAAAGCAAATCCACCCTCCAAGCAACACGGGAGCGAAGAAGCCTGAAAGAACTTCAAGCAATTCCGACCGACAAGGAATAACACTGAACCCAACAATCGAGTAAGTTCAAACCAGAATGTAATACTTATACAAGAAACAGGAGAATCATTAAACTCAAACTTGAATAACCCAATTCAACTAACTAACGCAGTAAATAATTCAGAATTCCACAAATATATAATAGAAGATTCCCTAAGGGTACTAGGTATTGGGAAGGCAATTAGATCTGAAATTAATGATATAAAAAATTAAGACCCTTAAAAGAAATAAAGAAACTTGGACAATGGGAAATTATCTGCAAACAACCAACATCAAGTATAAATATAGATTGTATACATGGAACCATAAACCCAGTTGAAATAGACCTGGAAATGAGAACAATCAAAGAGTAAGATCAGATCAGGTCGGATTTCACATATTCAAGAAGTAATAAGAATATATAAAAATAATCAAGAAAAAGACAAGGCAGAAAAATGGACCCCAACAAAATCTCTAAGAATTACCTTGAAAGGACCACAACCAGAAAGGGTAGCGATTGGACACTCCTCATTCCAAGTTGTACAATACACCTTCCCAATACCTAAATGCTATAATTGCCTCAGATATGGACATGGGATTCTTACTTGCAAAAACAAAAAAAGATGTAGTAGTTTCGAGCATAAATTTAAAGATTGTAGTAACAACCCATATTGTTTTTTCTGTGAAGGAGATCATACACCAAACAGTAACTTGTGCAGACTACATAACAAAGCACAAGAAATTAACTAACACAATTTTACACCAAACAACCTAGATATCAAAAAAACAACTACAACAACTAAAACCCAACAAACCAAAAATAATACAAACAAGGAAACATATGCAAAACCAAAAGAAAATGTTAAAGTAACCAAAGAAACATCACAGGTTAACATAAACTGTGAAAGTATAAGACACTACCAAAAAACACCACAAAGTTATGCACAAGCAATCTCTCAAACACGCAACATTACACCAGGACCAAAACACCCCCAAGACAAAGAACCCAAAACACAGTAAAGTTAAAAGTTACACCAGACACAAACACACAAATAAATGAAAAAGAGATAACAAAACCACAAAACACAAACAAATAAAAACGAACCCAGAACAGTCCCCAATAACATAGACATTACCCACACCCATTACTCATTCTCCTCATTTATACCCACTACCCAAACCCTTTACATACTCACATCACTCATACCAATCATCCTTACCTAATACCCACAATCAAAAGTAAAAGATAAATAGAAAAAAGAAGAAAATTGAAACTGGACGAATACCACAAAAAATATAATAAAGGCAGTATCAAATCTGATGAGCAATGTAAACTCGGGAAAATCAATTTTAAAAATAATTATGGAAACGATAAATTATTTTACCCCAATTTTAAAACAAATAATGATATTAATAAATGAATAAATTAATAACTTAGAATGCATATGCAATACACGAAAAAAAAAAACAGATTTGAATTATTTAATGTTCAAAGAAAACCCGGAACTAATTGCCATAAGCGAAACTTTAAAAGATAACATTAAAATAAATAATTACGAAATAATTAGGAAAGATAGAGAAAACCAAATTGGAGGAGGCCTGATGATATGTATAAGGAAAGATATACAATTCAGGAAATTGGATCTAAATGATAAATATAAATATAAATTTGAGATCCTACCAATAAAAATACAATTTAGAGAAAAATGGATAAGTATCATGTTAACATACAACTCTTGTAACAATATATCTAAAGAAGAACTTCAGTATTAAATAGATCAAATACAAGAGCCAAAGTTAATGCTAGGGGACTAGTATTAACCTAGATACAAACAAGCAGAGTAATGTAACAGGAAATAACTTAGTCAAACTGATAAATCAAAATAATATGATATTATTAACTCCAAAAGGATAAGTAACCTGAATAGATCTAAAAACAAACCGAGAAGCCACATTAGATCTCGTTGTAGGCTCACCCTCAGTAAGTCGTCTAACAATAACAACAGGCCCACATCTAAATAGTGACAATCTACTAATTATAATAAAAGATAATAATTAAAGAATCCATTATAGAAACCATCGAAAATAATGCAATCAGAATAGCAACAGGATCCTTCCGATCAACACCAATTATAGCACTACAAGCAATGACAAATCAGATACCAATAGTAAAAAGGATAAAAGAATTAGAATGTATTCAATTGATTAAAAATTTAGAAAAACAAGATGACATGCCAATTAAACATGTAACCTTAAAGAACATTAAAATTTTTAACCCAAATAAGAACAAAAAGAAATTAGTATAGTATAGAGTAATCAAAACCTGCAAAAAATGGAAAATAAATTTAAAAACTAACAAGATTCCCAACATATCCTCAATTCCACCATGGTCTAAAATCGAACAAAACATAGAACCAAACTTCATGGAAGATCTGAATAAAAATACACCACACCAAATGATACAACAATCCTTTCACCTACTTGGAAACACAACATAACAAAATCATCACAACATGTACACAGACGGTTCAAAAATAAAAGAACCAACAACATCGGTAGCAATATACATTCAAAACAAAATCTTCGCAACAGTTTGGAAATTACAAAACCACACACAGATAGTAGAAGCTGAACTTTTTTGCAATTAAACAGGCACTAAACTACATAAACAACAATAAACTACAAAAAAAAATGTAATCCTAACAGACTCAAATATCTATACAGGCAATGAAAAACTACAAACCAGTAAAATACAAATAATATATGAAATACAATCCCAATTACACTTACTAGACACTAAAAACATGTAAAACTGCAATGGATCCCTTCACATAAAAACATTAAAGGAGACAAAATAGCAGATAGAGCTACAAAAAAAGCACACGAG